TATCCTTGAAATTGCTTGGTAAAATGTAGCTCATGGATGCATAAAGCTCTTCTAGGCATTTTGAGGCATTCTGGTTTCATTTACTTTTTTTTTTTTCAATTTCTCCTCTTCTCAAGTCTGGCCTGTGATCTTAAAAGATGCTACAGTTTAGAACATTGAATTTTCACATTTGGCTCTTCCTAATCTCTTATTTTAACACATCTCAATATGGTACTACAGCACAAATGGAGTGCAAGAAACCCTTGACTGCGTATTTATTTGTAATAGACAACTTATTTGCTATATTTTGCTTCTTTGTAGCCAAACACAATTCTCTTTCCTTTGATATTTTAGATGATTTCCTTAATTATTTCTGGAACTAATATTTGGGTTGTTGCTTGCCCATATTGTGTGCTCTAATGACAATGAGCAGATTAGGCTTGCTGGTACTTGCTTCTCTCTCAAATAGATGAGTGTCATTGTAAGGGCTGAGTTTCTGACACAATATTTACAATTATAACCTCAAAAGTTGCTTTCTGTGCATTTGCTTGAATAGTCAATTAGGATTCTTTGTTCTGGTTTCAGTAAATTTGCTCATTAGAGTGTTTTTATGTAACCACTTTTTGATTGAGACATCTGTGGAAAAGTGACAGGGAAAGGTTTAGTTAAACCAAGCACTAAACTTTATAAAATGTCAGATTTTGAGGTCCTTGGTATGAAATATTTTAGGTCTTAATTCAGTAGTTCATCTTCATTCTGGAAACACTTCAGTTTGGGAACTACAGAGAAATTTTAATTTAGATGTATTCCTCTGCCCTGCAGAATCAGCCCAATGTTATTCTGCTCACCTGGAGATCTACTTCCTCTAATAGATGGAAGCCAAGTTTGTTTTAAAACTTGAATGTTAATGTGTTACCATATTTCTTCGAGGAAGTTTGATTTAATCTGAAAGCCTAAATGCTTCTAATTGGATATGCCCACATCCCAGCTGCACACATTCCTGGCAGTGAAGAGAATGTGATGAAGCAAAGATTTCTCAGACGTTAGCATTGTGGAGCCCCTTTCTTCTTCCTCTCCTTCTCTCCTCTGTCCTTTCTTTTTGCATTGAAGGGTCAGAGAGGTTCAGTTTAGGTATTGAATTACAATGCTGGCACTATTTTGAAAAAGAAAATGTTGACTGAAAACCCGAATCCTTTTTTTTCCCTCCTGTTTGGCACAGTGTGTATCTCCACAAGTAAAAGTCTGTGGATGCAACTGCAGAGCCAAATTAGACAGTACCAAAAGCATGGTAGCTTTAAAATTGTAGATCTATGTGGCAGGCTGTTTAATCTTTCACCTGCTATATGTGATATAATAACATTGATATATGTTTGAGCAGCCTTTTGGGATTTTATATATCAGAGAGACTGTGTATTTTGAAATTTAATCCTCATGAAATATTTGACATCCTGAATGGGATAATTGACACAGGGACACTAATTAGGGAGTTGTAATTCAGAAGGTTCTGATCATGTACTTTATACTGACATGTATATTGTCCCCCTGGTAACTGTGTTAATGGTGCTTAGACATGTGCATCAGGAAAGGAGTGCATACTCCTGGGAGCTCTGGAAATCAATCTCCTATGTAATACCATTTTAAAATGCTTTTGAAGAAGCAGATTTACACATTTTTACATTTATTAAGCTGATCATATATAAAATATTCTGGCTTTGAAATTGTTTGACTCAGTGTTTTCATTCTTAGGATTCTGCAGTGAATATTTTCCTCTGAAACTGAGCTTGTTGCCTAAACTGCTTTGCATTTCTTAGTGTTCGCTTGAAATCTTGGATAAATCTCCTCTATTCAGCTGAACTGAGTCTTGCTTACCTTAGGCAGAAATTATTTCATCAACTCCTGAAATGCAAAACCCGTGGAGAAAAGGCAGTCTTGTGATTGCACCTCTGACCTAAAGGACAAGCTTTCTCCAAGTATGATTTCATTCAGGTAGTGAGAGCAAGAGCTGGATTAAGAAACAAAAATATTGGCCTTAGGCAGGCAGGTGAGCTCAGTTTTTTCTGTTTTCCCCCTGGCTTTGTGATCATACTGCACACATGATCAGACTGTCTGCCTGCCCCAAACAGAGCATTCCTTTAAGGCATTTCAACAAATCTAAGAGCTCTTGAACTCAGCAGACTTTTCAAACTTTCTGCATGATCAAATAGCTTAAGTCAGGAAATACTTTTAAAGCACTAATTTACTATATGGTAAGTGAATACAGAGACTTGTTAATATTGCTTATGGAGCAGTATTCTACCACTGTAGAAAACTGAAAAGCAAAGAACAGGCTAAAATCCAGTTAAAATTTCTGGAGTCTGGCAAAATGTATTTACCAAATCTAAAACCACCAGGGGAATAATGATCTCAATCTTGAAAAATGTGAAAAGGGATTTTTAACTTTTTCAAAATTAAGATTTTTTTTTAGGTCTCCTGGTGTGCAGCTTATACAGAAGCTGGCTTTTTCTGCAGAACACTGTGTCCTCTGATGCTCATGTTTGGACATTGCTTCAGCAATGAGTCAGAGTTCCAGCTATTGTTTCACTAACATCAGTTCCTGCTGTGCTGGGGGTTTCCCCTCTCATCTTTTTCCCAAATTATCAGCCAGACCCAACCCTCTTCTGTTCATAAAATCTGGTGGGAGGCCCCACATTGGGCTGGGGTGGCTGTGAGGTGCTATTCAGGCAGTTCTAGCACTGCATATGCCCTGCAGGAGCAGTGCTGGTTATTGATTTCCATGGCAGGCAGCGGTGAGAGAACAGTCATTGCGAGACAGTGCGGGCTGCTCTGCTCTGCCAGACACAGGCCTTGGGTGGGAGGGCTCCTGCAACCAGCATGGTGCAGCTCCCTGTGGCTTCTCTGCAGAATAGTCGTGCTGTCATTTCAGGAGTTCACTTGGGGGAAAAAAAGCTGGCAGATAGGCTTAAAAATGTTAAGAATTACCAATGTACAAAAATCCGCGCAAAGCGTGGGGAGAATCTTTTCTATTTAAAAAAGTACAGATAGAAAAAGAAGATGGTGTATCTTGGGAACAAGAAACCAACCAGATTGCTCTACTGCAGCTCTAAATTCAGACTGGATGGCACTGGAAGGAGCTGAGAGTTTGAACCTCTTATGTCCTGTAGCACAAGGATATGGAGAATGGAAAAATGAACACGTGATGTACGGACTAGGCCAATGTTGTAAATTTGCCTGAGTCACCACAGCCACCTAGGCTGGAACCTCTTCTCATTTGGTCTAATACTAAAGGTTCATAAAAGAAGCCTTTCACAAACCTGAACTGTTTATGACAGATGTCACCTGTGCAACAAAAATGCCACTGATAGGACTTGCTTTCGTTAACTTCTCTGATGCAATTAATCTCATCAAGGCTAATGAGAATAGCCATTACATGTGTTCAGAGGTGTCCTTGACTTATGGCAATGCCCACATCTCATATGGTTTCAATATTCCTTGCATGTGGATATTTCCAGAAGTTGTTTTTAAACTTTTCATTTATGTTTCTTGTGGAAATACAAGAAAAAATATGTGTATGGTCTTTTCTCTTAATAATACTTAAATGTTTTTCATATGTCCTTAACCATGCATTCAGCAGCAGACTAAAGTTCAACTCATTCACTATTTAATGCTATCCTCAGAGATGGACTGGGAGGTAGAATGAGCAGATGTCCTAGTCAGACTGAAAAGTTGCTTGGTATTTTGCTTAATTTGTGATGCTTCAGCATGAGACAGGCAGATTTCCATTTTAAGTGTCTTTGCAAACATTGTTGGTAAATTCTAACAGTAATAAATATGATTATTCTGCTTGAGTCTTAAACTTTCCACAGGCTTTTTTGATTTTGTGCTGCTTACAGCCCTAGGACCCTCAGCATAAGAGAGAACAATGCTTTATTAAAACAAGCTGCTATGTAAAATGTGTGCTTACTCAGCTGGAAGCTGCTTGGCCATTTCTGCTGCTTCTCTCAAGCTCCAGAGCTGCAGATGGAGTTGGGTTAATGTAACATAACTTTCCCAAGAGCCTGCAATAGGACTTGATGTGTTTTCTGCTACATATCCTCATCTTCCAAATTAACCTTAAGACAAATGGGATCTATTTATTTGCTACTTCTCTGAGACAATATATTTGGCTGTCATAGTAGTGTCTGCTTTGTATTTTGTATAAAACTGGCTCCCTAAGGATCTGGTTAACTAAGACCAGAGAATACTCTATGTGCAAAAAAAAAAAAAATTAAAAAAATTGATGGCATACTTTGGACTAGAGAGGGAAAAATCAGAAGAAAAAAACTGAAAAATCTTATGAGAGATGGTTTGTGTGCCTGATCTTTGGATCAATGTCTCCTCCCTGTTCTCTAGGCATGTGGCATTCAGCTACGACTAAAGAATCAGAGAAAACCTGAAAAACAATAGCAGCAATGTGGAAATCAGCCCATGTACCCACACTCACTAAGTGGTTCCAGAAGATGTGGCAAATTATATTGATGGAAAAGCTGATTCATACAATTCTCCCTAGCCCAAAAATTTGACAAACAAAACCACTGACTATGCCAGGTGCTAACAGACAATGCCATTGACCATATTTTTATCAGGAGAGCAAAATCAAATATTTGAGAACAAAGCTTCATGAAAAACAACACTGTGGGGCAAAAGAATAGATCAGCCCTTTAACAAAGAGGATTGACAACTTCAATCCCTCCTCTTCATGACTCCTTGAAGAAAGACAGGAGCAGCAATAGATGTGCAACTTAGTGACCTGCTAGATCTGCTCTTTTATTTAGGCTGTGATGCCAACAGTTCCGGTTATTACTGACCAGGCATCCGCCTGGAGATGTATGTGCACCATGCCTCTTGTGACCTGTAAAAGAAGGGAGAACACTGTGAAAATGAGCTTGGGATGCAGCCCAAAGCACCGAAGTCAAAGCTCTTTCATGCTAAAAGTTGAATTCCTACTGCCTTCAATGGATTTTTTGTTTTGTTTTGTTATATAGTTGTCTGTATTTCTGAAGACCCAACTTTTGGTAAGAGGGAAACTGTGTTCACAGAGCAGCATTGTGATTCACAACTTTTAACAATGAAGCAGCACAGGAAGGTAAGTTTTCTCAATGACTCCAGCTTGTGTGAAATAGAATATATTGTTGGCATTACCACTTAGGAAAAGCCAAAACCCCTGCAGAGACATACAAAACTTACAGATGAAAATATACACCTCCTGTAGACAGACCAGTTTGGTTTGGAGTCATTCAACTTGTCAAACTCAGTTTTTTCATTATAGCTGAAACCATCAGTGAGTGAGTCCCCAGTTCCCCGTGGCTGGCTGTGTGTCTGTCTTTCATGGCAGCTGCTGCAGGACCAGCCAAGCAGTTGCTCCTCAGGGAGACCACAGCCTCCTCCCACCTGCTGTTTACATCCCCACCCATTCAGCTCCAGGGTTAGGCAGGGGAAGGAAATGGTCTCACACTGCGTGTGCCTACGTGACCCAGTATGTGTGTCAGGAATAAATCAATGGCTTTGCTGAGCACTGAAGTTACCAAAGGCCTCTGAGCACGAATAAAGCCATACTGGGTCTTCAGCTGCAGGTTCTCCATGGGTGGAAGGAGCAGGTGACAGGACCGCCTCAGTGGAGCAGTCTCAATACAAAATTGGATTAAAGCAAATTAGTTTGAGAGAAACAGTTTAAAATTAAAAAACTGTAGGAAAACACTACCAGTGGCACTGTGTCCAGGAAAATGTAGGGTACATTTGCTCTTCTCTGTGCATGAATATTGATCAATAGGCTGCTTTTTTTAACCAGCAGGGGTGATGGAGATGAGGTGATTGCCATTATATTCTGATTGCATTTCTTTAATGAGACAAGTCCTTAGACAATTAGAGGTGATGAAAGGTGTCAGTAACAGCAACATCAAGAGTGAAGGAAACCATCCCATTGTATATTTTCTGGTAATGTGGGGAGCAGATATGACTTTCAACTTTTTAGAAATTGTTTTAGAACTCATACTAAAAACAGTTAAAAAACTCCAAAACACCCAAACCAGTGAAAATTTCAGTATTCAAGGAGATAAAACTACAGCTCTGGGTGACATGATTGGGTCTGAACTACCTCAGGAAGTTGAAGAGAGCTTTTCTTCCAGCATCTAATAGGCTGTGAAAGAACAAGATGTGAAAGATAAGTGCAAACAACATGTGACAAATTCTTCTTTTAAGATAGTTATTACTCCTCCTCTGTTCCATTTCATTTGGAATAAAAGAGAGTCAAGCAGCCTTTTCTGTTCTGTTCACATTTGCTAACTGTTTGCACTTCCCTGCTCATTATCTCCTACAGTTTAATGGAAAGAAAATCTCAAATTCTTTGTTTTAAAAAGCTTATATTTGCTATACCAAAGAACTCATCAGATTCATGATCATTTCTAGCTTTCAATCCAAAGTAGGATCTTTCAGAGATTTAAAGAAAAAAAAGAGCAAACACCAAAATAGACTTTAAAGTGCTGCTCATGCTGATACAACATCAAATAGGAAATGAAAGTTTAACAGTTCAACTAGGGAATATTTCTTCAGCTTCTGAGGAAAGACAGAGTTGCTCAGGAAGCGTGGCATTTTGCCACATCAGGGAGCCTCCAGGAACTGAAAGGTAACAGTGCTGGTGACCCTTTGCTGCCTTAGACCAGCTGGAGAGGAGGAGGCAGGCACTGGAGTGCACAGTGCCATGTGAAAAATGAGCAAGAGTACCTGAAAATTGTCAGATCAGCGTTAGGTTGTGGATGTGTGTCTTTGCTGGTGGGAATGTGATGTTTCCAGAGTTAATTTTTTTCCATAATGTTGTTTTATAGTCTGTATCTGCAATGATACATTATTTCTCCTTTAGAAGTCTACCTATATTTGTGCATTTTCCGGTGTCTTGTGATCACAGAGAGTGAGTATTGCAGTTGGTGGGATCTGTCCTTCAAAATTCCTTAAGAAGTTTAAAGATGTGCTCTGGAGAGATGGTTTCTCCCTTTCCACTTCAACTAGTGAAGAACATAGACTAAGAAAGAATCACAAATGGGATTTGTAGCATTTTGGTGGCCCAGATAGGGTAACTTGTCATTCCTAACTGGACCTGATCAGTAAAGAGATCTGACCTGAGTGATGGGAACCAAGTGTGTAGTGATTCCACTGACTAATTGTTGGATCCCTGCTTTTTGTACTGGCTGAGCTGAAGGGAAGGCACCAGAGCTGTCCCTGCCAGCACTACACACAGTGCATGGGCTGCATGAAGCCTGTGAAGGGATGTGTTGGCTTGCTGGGCAGCCCAGAATCATCTTGGGACTTCTGTTGCTTTCCTCTAGTTTTGCCTCTGGATAGCTGGGCTGGCAAAAAAAAAAAGAAGAAAAAAAGGAAAAAAAAAAGAAAAAATCAAACAAAAATCCCAAAAATCAAACAGATGTAGCTAAGAAGAATGGGAAGTTTAAGATGTTCACATGGTGCTATTGCAGATAGGTTCACAGGGCATGTGAGGATGGGAATATTTCAGTTGGAATAAGAAAAGAAGAGACAAATGTTCAATGGGGAACACATGCTTGTTTAACTTGCGCTGTGCTGACACACAGTGGAGGGCTCCACAGTACCCTTTCTAAAATTCACTCCAGTCCTCAGTAAGAAAAGTACAGATTTTGAGTGCAGAGGAGGCACTCAGCAACCCTAGAAGGAGCAGCAGCTGTTGAACCAGCTACAGAGAGGGCAAACCAAAAAACACTGAATGCTGAGATCAAACAAATGAGAATGAATCAAAGAAACAGCAGGAGACAAACAAGGGGATGTAGCCCAATGCACTCCCTTGAACTCAGTTCTCTCTTAATCCATAGTGACCTGGATTTTATCCTAGAATGGGAAGTTTTCCCAAAACACTATTAGCCTTGAATGGGTATTTGATTCCATTTTCTCAATTTTTACTGAGGTATGTTCATTTGTATTACTGAGAGAACTTGTTTTCAGCACAATTTTACCTCTCAGAAGTTATAACTATCCATACTGCTGCATAATTTTATTTTTGGCAGAGAAAGGGCAAATCCACTGCAAGTAATTGTTAAGCACTTCTTATCTGTGTTTCCTGGATGAGAATTCCAGAGCACGGCCTCTTTTGAAACTCTTCTCACCTGCTTGGGCATGATGCTGCTAGCTTAAATGTATTTCCTTCTGTTTTGAAATAAGCCACGTGAGAGGATACTCCTAATGTTCTTGGCCAAATTGATAGTGCTGTGTCCTGCCCTGGGAGTCATGAGCATTTGCTGTTTTCTTCAGAGATATGTATTTGCAATTAGTCATCCATACAAGGGGACTGTTTAAGACAAGCCTTTCCCCCAAAGCAGTTAATTCTTCAAAATGAAAATAATCAGATAATGAGCTCATTTCCGATTTCACATTTAATGCCAAACATTTTTGGGTAAACAAGATATGCTGGCAGAGTTCTGCTCTCATTGTATGTTTTTTATTAACTGGGAAACAGACAGTTGATTCTTATCCACTCTATCAGCTCAAATAAATTACACATATTTTAGGAGGAGAGACTTGTGCAAACTGGCTGGCTGGTTTCAATGTGGGAGCCCTTCAGCCAGTCTGTGTAAACTGCACCCAGGCCTGGATAGCAAGAAATGAAAACCTATTAAGACCCAGCTTGGGAGTCTCCCACTCAGTGCAAAGTTTTACCACAGTAACTCATATTCCTGCACCATGAAAATAAGTAAGGCAGCAGGGAGTCTATCTGTGGTGACTTTGCCAAATCAGAGAGGCCCAGTGTCGGAGCTGCTGTGCCATTCCTGCTGACAGCCCCTTGGAAGAGCCAGGGAGCTGATGGAAGCACCTGCTGTTCACAGCACTCAGGACAGCAGACACTGCCAGGTACTCTGGGGCTGTGTTTCCAAGAGCTTGTGGGGAGAAGTGACAATATAGCAAACCATGGGACCAGATGAAGCTTTAAATGCTGTTTTCTCCTCCTGGGGCTCAGCTTTGGTCAGTGGACTTGCTATGGGTTTACAGACCTGCCAAAGAGAACAGAATCTGACCAGATTCTGTGGCCTCTGAGTCTTTCAAAATCAATACTTCTTTCCAGACAGGAGAAACTGAAAAGAGAGAAATTGAAAAGATCTATTTGGAAGTGGTATTTATGACTTACCCTATGCCAAAGCATTTAAAGAAGATTTTTCTTAAGGTGTCCCGAATTTTAGCAAGAGGTCAAATAATTCACACTAATTTCTAATTTTGAACATTGGAGATTAAAACTGAGATTGATGTTTAATGGCTATTGTACAAATAATATTCTTCTGTGCACAATGAACTTCAACATATGATGAAGAGAGCAGCTATTCATAAACAAAGCAAAACTGTCTTCCCTGTTGATCCTTTATATCAGCTTAGAGTTTAGTTTGATGGTGGCAGTTCCTGTCCAAAGTGAGAAAAAAGGTAAGAGCAATCTCTGTGCTAAAGAACTCACAGTGCAAAAGGAATTAGGAGATGAACACAGACAAGAGGCAGGAGTACCAACAGAGCACTGTGGATCAGCACAGCCTAAGCCAGCAGGAAGCAGTTCAAGCGGTTGTTGCAGAAAATGAGTATTTCAAGGTAAGGTTTGAAAGAGAGCAATGAGTTTATTTGTATTGATGTATTTCTACTTTTTAAAGCTAATGAGAAACAGTGTCAGAGAAAACAGTTTGCCTGAATCCAGAGTGCATTTTTAGGAAGGCGTAATTGGCCCCAGAAGCCTCAGGTTCAGTTGTTGGACAGAAAAAAAGATCAGTGATTGAGATGATTGTTTTTTCTGATCCACAAAATAACCTCCATGACGACGGAGGGTGTAACAGAGCTATATGGTGCAGCTGGAGGAAGACTTTGGCTCTGGTTTGCAGACTCTAGACAAATCCCAGCTTTGACAACTTTGCTGTATAGCTTCTGAGCTTTGAACAGAGTAACCTGAGATTTTTCTGGGGTATGGAGCAGAGGGAGTCTGGTGTTCACAAAATAAAGCCAATGAACATTGTGATTTCTGGGAAAAACAGTATTTGCAGCGTGGGCTCCAGACAGGAGAAGCTGGTGTATTAGTAACATGTGACTGGAGGCAGT